CTAACATAGACCACAAACCATATAATGTTTTGAACATCGACAAACCATATAATATTTCTAACATAAACCATAAACCATATAATGTTTTGAACATCGACAAACCATATAATATTTCTAACATAGACCACAAACCATATAATATTTCTTACATAATCAAAAAGACCAAACAATGTTTCCCTACTTTAATAATCCTAAACTTGTAGCAGTCATCTTGATCCACCCCTTTAATACCTCAGGAACAGCCGGCAATGTCATCCATGCATCTCTCATAGGCATGGACAATCCAAAAATGTGAAAAGCTGCTAAGAATAGAGGATCCATTGGGTCTAAGTTACAAAGCTTCAACTTCTCATAGCATTCAGCACTTGTTGGCCCATCCTTGTTTTTAACAATATGCTGTAAAGCTTTTTGCATATCAACTGCTATATCATCAAAAGTGACAACTGTCTTATCACTCGAGGATTTTGAGGTTTTAGCCCTTTTTCTAGGCATATCAAAAGTAGGGGACGACTCAGGAGGTGGATCAACTGATGCACTAAGAGGTGGATCAACTGAGGTATTGGGAGCTGGCTCAGAAGGAGGCTCATGGGAAGTGCCATCATCATCTTCAGAGTCAATAAAAGAGCTGTTTGTAAGCAACAGTGGTTGAACATGATGACAAGAATGATGTTGTTTGGGTTGAGGTCCACTTGTAATTACCAGTGGCACTATTGCCATCAAATAGTGCTGCACAAAGTTCTGGAAAAGGCAAAGGGACTGTCTTCAACGAAGCAGCCTTTGGATGTCCCTAAACCCAAAGTAATAAAAACTAGTATAAGAATACTTAAGAACTTCATACCTAAATGTTTGAAAATATATATAAAACATACCTTCCTAAATTCTTCCCATTCCTCGTTCGTTAAGGTGAAAGTGTTGGTTTGAGGGTTGTATAGGTTGCCGGTTTTGTTTTTCAGATACACCCATCCTATGTATTTTGCTTTTAGATTGTCGTAGGCATTTTTCATTTGTTTTTGACTCAACTCCATACCAAACCTTTCCTTAAAAACTCTTCCTAATTTAATCCATGACTCCTTATGCAAACTCAATCCTTTCCTTCCAACATTGTTTATTTCTTCGATACAAGTTTCCAATAAGCATTTTTAAATGCTCATTGGACCATTGTTGCTTCTCTCCCATGTCTATACACACAAATCAGCATACACAACAAATACATAACATCAAACAGCAAATTCATAACATACAAACAGCAAATTCATAACATACAAACAACAAATTCATAACATACATACATATACAAACAACAAATACAATATATACATACATATATATATATATAAATCAACATATATATAATAGCATAGTTTAAACTTTTGTGAACCTTATCCATGATTTACTAATTTGTTACTAATTATGTTTTAATTCATCCATATTTGGTATAGATTATTATATTAATTCATTTAGAAAGTTACAAAAATGTTATTAAATTTATCGAACTATTCATGTCTTGAGTAAATAAATGCATCAACCTACAGTAGAAATAAATAAAAGAATCTTATAAGGTTAAAAAGGTTTCTCACCAATATAAAAGATTCAGTTAGTATGAGCTTTGTTTACAACATTGTATGAGACTAAACTATCAACTCAAGGTAGAAAAAGAAATGGAAAACTTTGCAGATGCCGATATGGGTACCTGCTAACTCAGGGTCGGAAGTCAATTGACTAGGTTGAGTATCGATCGGAAAATAATAAGCTGTTCAATTGTTTCATTCAAGGAAACTATCTGAAATTTTCTGGGAAAAGGCGTTTTAAGACAAAGAAGAAGAGCTTGAACTGGTAAACTCTCTCTCTATATATAATATTGTTCAATTGTTTCTTTGGATTTCTTGAATTTCCTTGAGATTACTTCAACTGTTCAACATGTTGGCATGGTGTAAATTTCCCTGTTAAATGGTTATGGCAGTGAAATATTAATTATTAACAGTTCTAGGGGGGAAAACAAATTTACTCTTGAACTGAGAGTAATCAGTGACATTTTGATTCTCATAATTTGGTTTAAATCTCTGGGTTTTTAACTCTAGTACTGGTAACTCTATCTCACTCGGAAGAATACTACTAAGGATCACTTTGCTTGGCATTATTAACTGAAGTTATGCATATCAGATTGTTTTGGTTAATCTTCTTTATGGGGATAAATTTCAGTAACAATGGTGACCAGAACAGTTGATATTCGATCTGATACTGTCACAACAAATTCATAACATACATACATATACAAACAACAAATACAATATATACATACATATATATATAAATCAACAAAAATCGATGGTCTTGAAGCAGCAAAAACAAACAGCAAAGAAGTACAAATTTGTTAACAGGAGAGTCTCAGGAGGGTCTCAAAGCAGCAAAAACAAACATCAACATACACAAATTAGCATACACAACAAATCATACCTGTGGTAGATGGCCGGTGACGAGGGGGGAACAGCGATCGACTCAAGAACACAAGTTCTGCAGCAAGGGGGAACAGCGATAGAGGTCTGTAGCGAGGGGGGAACAACGATCGAGTGGGAATCAAGGAAAGGAGAAGCGGCGCAGAGAAGGATTTTTTTAGGAAGATAACTCGTTGAGGGGAACAGGTTTTTTTAGGCTAGGTTTTTGTTTTTATGTTGAAATCAAAAACTGCGGACAATGGGTTGAATATTGGGAGTGAATAGCTGAACAAAATGGGTTGAATATTGGGAGTGAATAGCCATTGAAGCAGTCGATCCAGCATCCCTAATCTGGTTTTTGTTTATTTGAAGACATTTGAAGACCTTTGAAGACATTAGGCCACGTCTGCGCCGCGCAGACGTTAGAAGAGCTTTTGTCTTCTAAAAAACAAACGGTCTGCGAAGCCCAATGTCTGTGCGTGGTCTGCACGGCGCAGACATAAGAGCTTTGCAGACCTTACACAGTAAAAACAAACACCACCTAAGTTTATTGGATTTCTCAGCTTGTATCGGTCAAATTCTCCTAAAATCAAAGCTTATCCGAAAAAGTTTTTTTTACTACATATAACTTCCTAATATCTTAGTAGGAAAAATAATAAAGAGTAAAAATCTTCGAATTATAAAATATCTTAATGAGTGAACATGGACAATATATATATATATATATATATATATATATATATATATATATATATATATATAATAAAAATAAATGCAAGAAAAATGTAAAAATGCATGAATGCAAGAGGTATTGATCTAAAAAGGTCAAATATCATAGAACAATCTTAGTTTGGAAAATAAAGTTTCAATAAAAAAATATTCAACTCTACAAATATGGCCTAACCCTCATGCTCAAGTGAATAACCTCACTGATCAATGCTAAGACCCTCCTACTACTCTCGGAAATTGGATCAAAGCGGGATCATACAACTTTGACTTTGATAGCATCTCACCCAAGATAAAATAGGTTTAATATAAAGAGTTTAATATAATAATAATACATCTGGATTAAATGAGTGACGACAAGTGTATATTGTCTCAGAAAAACATTCATAAACGAATTAAAATTAATTATATATTTCCTTTTGTCTTTAGGTTTTAGAATAATATATTAATTCGTTCATATATTTAAGGATCATTCTTTAGATTAAATTTGAGAAATTTCTTCACAGAAACAACGATTTAATTAACTCTAAATAAAATTGATGATGACTTTAGGAATAATGTTTAATCTTTTTAAAAGAAACTTAAAATAGTTGAATTATCTAAATAATAAACGTTTTGACATCCTTCTATATAAGTATATACTATATACGTTTATACAAACAAGGAAGTAGTGTCTTCTATTTATAGACAAGGTCCATTAGGATCAATGGTTGAAAATATAAACAAGTGTGAGACTAGGATCCATTTATACAAAAATGTCTTACATCTAGAAGCTATCTTAGTTGGTGCAACCCGAGTAGAGCTTGATTCACCCGAATGGGATCTTTCTAGTATCCTCCAGACGCCCATGTCTTGGTCTGGTCAAGGCACACACTATGCGAGCAAGTTTGGCAGATAGACCCTTTTGGAGCCTTCCTACGCCATGTCAATACTAGATGTTAATGATAATGTTGGTTCTGTTTAAGGACGAATGTAAGAATTTATATTAGAATGCAAATTTCTTGTATTAAAAATTTAGATATATAAGATTATAAAATTTTAAAAGACACAATTTTATATTTACATTAGATCATCGCTTTACTATGAAAAGAAAGAAATAGGCGATAATTTAGAAGAGAATGCAGGGCGGAAGCTGATCTGGTTGAGAATTTGAGAGAAATGGCTTGCGGGAGGGTGGCTGGTTTGCAGGGGGTTAAACGCTGGCAACTTAGTTTGGTCGGTAGGCTGGAGTGGAAGCTTAATGGTTAGATGATTTGATTTGTTTATTTGGTGATTGATTGTCCATACTTTTTTTTTTTGTATAAAAATTTCAGCATTTATAAAAAAAAATCATCAATAAAAAAATTGTCCCAAGGTGGTGGGAGATTTTGGGGTCCATGTAACAAGGAAGAGCTTCACAAACTCATCTAATCAAATCCTGTTCTGATATATAAATGAATATAGAAAATCTTTGGGATCGGATTTGAAATTTCACTTGAAAAAATGAACAGTGATATTAATAGTTAAAGGAATTATTGTTCTCTTTTTATATCTCAAATTCGAGTAGCCGGGTATGTATGCATTGTCAATAATTACAAAACTTATAAACTACCTTGTATTCACCTCGTACTATTAAAAAAATGGAGTATCATCGTGCATCATAGGTAGGTCCGTAGCTTTTATTGATTTATTTACTCATATAAAATAAAATGAATTAGCATCGGAAGAAACAGCAGATGGCCAGTTTTTTTTTTTTCTTCTTCTGAGGTACTATTTATTGTTCAATGTTTCTCCGGCGAAATACATTTACTAATAACACCATAGCACGGCCTGTGGTAACTTCAAACACATGATGAAAATTGGTAAATATAGTATGTATTGTATAGAACAAGTAAAGCGTACAGACTGTTTCTCAAGAGTGGAAGGTGATGAAGGATCCCTTCAAAGTTGGAGATCTATAGCATGGACAGCCCCAAGTCTTACCTTTTATCCCTTGCATTTGCTCTGTTTGCTACGTAAGTTCTCAACGAAGGTGAGTGCGTGAGACCGTCGGGCGCGACCGTCATATTTTGAGTTCCGTTCTTCTGTAGCATCCTTCTCCTGGCTATCAACCCTCTGATCCAAGGGGTAACATCTTCACTGATCTTTATCATCAAGAAGAAAATGATACGGTAAATGATGATCATGCTGAATATCACACTCAGATCGATCCACTTGGACCGTGTCACATCAATTTGGAATATGTTTTCAAGGATGTATTCGCCCGGGATCTTGGGGAGAATCGGTGATTGATTCTCGAACAGCAAGCCCTTCAGATCATTTTGGTATTGTCCCTGGTGAAACAATGTGGCATTCATGTCAACAATAGTGATAGCGATAATGATAAAGATTTCGTGTGCTACTTCACCTGTAGAGCCCAGAAGTGGAAGCTGATGTAGGACATTGGATAACGCCAGATGATTTTTGGGATGTCATTTGGGAGCCTGAAGAACCCCGAAACAAGCATGAATATTCCCTGTATCCCTGCTCCTATGATGATCCCCATGAGAAAGTTCGGGACGATACTGGCTATGGCCATCATCAAGCTCTCCACCACTGTAACACTCGCGTAAAGGCACAATACGAAGAACAGATAATGTTCGAAGCCCGGGTGAAGGCGGACCATGAAGTAACAAATAGTCCCAGAGATGAAGGTGATCATAATGAGGAAAGGCATAGCTGACAGAGTATTCCCAATAACAAATGCAGTCACACCATAGTGCCCATTTAATCTTTCCCTTTGGAAAACCTACAAAAAAATCAACCGTTTCCGGTCGTCATCCCCGACATGTTTAACCTGCAGTTTATGATCATAGCTCACCTTCATATCCTCTACAAAGGAAGGGAACCCGCCGATCGACATGAATGTGACAAAACCGAAAACAAAAGACGCACATGAACCCCTTGCCTGGTGCACACGGTATAGAGCTGATTAATAAATAAGCACTTATAAGGTTAGCAGTTCGAAAATGTGATACAATACCAGAATCGAGTTGTAGCTGGTTCCGATATCGAGATAAATGGTTCCGATGCAGACAGTGACCACAACATATATCAGCAGTCTCAGCCAATAATACCCGAAGTCCCTCGACATGTTAACGAATGAACGCTTGGTTAAAGTATAAGACTGCATCAAGAAACTAGCTTGACTGCCTCCGGAATCTAGCACGGTTCCTTTCTGCAACATACAGAAACGTAATTCAACCGCCACTCTCAATGGTAACAATCAATGGAATTCGATGCAGGGAGACAAAGCACTTACAACTTTGGATATCCCATCAACCTTTTCCTTTGCAGCATAACATTGCTGAGATGTTCGGTAGAAGTCGATAAGAGTTCGGATTGCTTCAGCTGTGGTTATCTTCTCGAGTGGATCATCGCTTGCCTCGAACTTATTATAAACCAATTCTCAAAATAGATAAGACATTCAAAACAAAATAGGAAGGGAGATTTAAACGAAGGGCCGGTACCCGTAATTTCATGGATCCTTTCAGAGTAGCCTTAACCTTATCAAAGTCAGAATTGATACATCTAAGAAAATGATCAGATGGATTTCTCAAAGCAGGGCATGGAAATCCAGCTTGAGCGAAGAACTGCATTATCATCCACAAATCAACAAAGACTATGTGTAAACGAATCTCCTAATCATGTCGAACTGAAGTGCGGAGCGGATTCTTACCTCGTATGCTTCAGATGCCTGACCAAAATAAACAGTTTTGCCCCCAGAGAGCAAATATAACTGATCAAATAGCTCAAAAACTTCACTACTCGGCTGATGGACCGAAGCTACCACAGTTCGACCATCTCTTGACAGCCCGCGTAACGTCTGCGTAACGAAGAAAGCCGAGGCACTTCCATTTGTATGCAAAGCACGAAACTATCAATGTAGGTTCAATAATGAATCTTGCATTATCTGATACATATTGAGGATATGTACCAAAACAGATCTATAGGAACTCTAATCAAAAAATAACAGTTTACTATATTAGGCAGAGTGACAATAAAAGATAAACCTGTCTAATCCACTTGTCGGTTCATCAAGAAAGAGCAATCTAGGCCTCATCAGGATTTCAAGAGCTATACTGACCCTCCTCTTTTCTCCTCCACTGATCCCACGCAAATGCCAATTCCCGATAACGGTATCCGCGCAGTCTTGGAGTCCCATCTCGATGATAGTACTTTCGACAAGCGCTCGCTTTGCGGACCAAGGCATCTTATTAGGGAGGCGGAGTCGAGCGGAGTACGAAATGTTTTCCCAGACTGTCAGCGTGCCGATCAAGTTGTCATCTTGAGTCACATAGGCCTATTTGGTTCATAACACAGAGTTAAAAAAGATTCAAGACATGAATGATGATGATTGGACTGGAACAAAAAAGTATTCGGTACTCACCGCAGTCCCGAAGGAAAGCTTGGTTTTATGACCATTGAGAAGAATGGTTCCGGAGAGGAAAGTGTTAGACGCCAAGCGACTTGAGAGCGCATCGAGAAGAGTCGATTTGCCGGAGCCGGAAGGTCCCATGAGAGCGGTGAGAGTGCCGGGTTCAGCGTAACCAGTAAGCCCTTCCAGCAGCTTATGTGTCTCGCCATTGTTGAGTGCCACCATGACGGTGAGATCTTTCCAAGTGAGCCTGGCCGACACATCTCCCACGAACTCCGAGTTAGCCTTCTCTCTCCACAATGTCTCGCTCAACGGACTCAGTCCTCCGACCACCATGCCGTTCCCGGCGGGTTTGTTCGCCTCTATCTCCCTCATAACACTACTTGCAGAATCCATGATCACCGGCTGCTAAACAAACTAATAAGCTGTCGAATATAAATGTCGAATGAACTGGTTAGGTTAAGAGAATCCCATGCAAAAAGAAGCCGCCTTGATCCATCAACTTGGCTAGTTGGCTTAAAATCTCTCTCAGTTTTTTCTGTTAAAACTAGGATCTTATTCTTCTTCGAGGGCTGCGGATAAGAAGGTCAGAGTTTGAAGATGGAAATACAGCAAGGAAAAAGAAAAAAAACAAGGGACGGATTGAAAGTAGCCACCTTCTTCTTATCCAACCATTAAATTCATTTCGGTGGTTGTTGGTAGATCAGTAGATGCATTTATTGGGAGCAATTGATCAACGCTTCCTACGCAACAGCTAGATGTTTATGTGTGCCTAGTTGTATGTGTGTTTCAGCGAATACATATTAGTGTTTCCTTGAGCAACCACTAAAAAGATATAGTTTTTAAAAATTAAATTAGTGTTTCCTTTTACTTATTTATTTTACATAATTTCCTGTTCCATTAATTTTTAACAATATTACTATACGCATCAAATATATTTGTATTTTTTTTAACTTTTATGTTGAATTTTGATATTAATAGAAATTTTGATATTTTTAAAATTCAATGTAATTAAAAAAATATTGATTTCTTTGAGTATGATACTTGACACCAATACTAGAGGTAGGGGTGTTGGCTAGTTGATTTGTCGCAGGGCTGGTTTTGGGCCTGTGCAGGCTGCCCAACCGCATAGGGCCCAATATTTGAAAGGGCCTCCAAAATTTTTTAAATCTTTTGTATATATGTGTATTTAGGATGTTTGGTCCAAGAATTTTCAAGTACAAGGCTTATTTTACTGTTATGGTATAGGGCCACCAAATTTTAAAATATTAGTGAATTTCTTTATATATCTAATATTTTAATATATCTAATATTTTAGTTTTAAAAGGTCTATTTTACTGTTATGGCATAGGGCCACCAAAATTTACAAGACGGCCCCGTGTTCCGACCCGGATGTTGTCGGTATCCGGTAATCGGGTATCCGGATTTTGCGGGTATCCATTGTTTTTCATTTTTAAATTATTAATTTAAAAAAATAAACACAATTCGAATTACATACTCCAACATCCGAACATAAAATTTAAAAGTTCGAAATAAAAAATCTAATAATCCATTATATAAATAAAACATAAAAATTCATAGCTAACTAGGGTAAATATGAATTATGATAGTCATTAACATCCAATTACTAAACTATCAAAACTTAATCCAATTATGATATTAAATTATAATCACAACCCATTTATATAATTTAATTACCTAGACTTTAATTACCTATACTATCAAAACTTAATCCAATTAAATTAATATCATATTTGATAGTCATAATCCAATTACTAAACTATCAAAACTTAATCCAATTATAATCCAATTACAAAATATCAATATTTATACAAATTATCATGTTAATGATTTAGTAATTGGATTATATATATATATATATATAAACTAACCGAGTACTCGGGTAAACCGATGCCAGAAAAAACTCAATTTTCGGACCCGGGCCTGACCCGGGAAATGTCGGGCCGGGTACCCGACCCAGTCGGGTAATTTTTTTAGAAAATTACCTGTTTTTTTTTAGGTTCGGGTCGGTGGGTATGGTCAACCGAGTCGGGTATTTTTGCATACCCTAACTAGAGGAGTTATCAAAATAAAATCATGTTTTGATGCTTCAAAAGGTCAAATTTGAATTCCTATTCAAATATTGATACCTAAATTCATAATTATAGAAATTCCATATAAAATTGAGATTCAACATATCTAAAACCCGACAAAATCATATGGTAAATCTAGCAAAACTTCTTGATAAAAGCTTCTCTCATAGAAGTTTTATTCGATAAAAAACTTAACAAAAATATCAATTTTTATCTTTCAGTCTTTCTCTCGTTAGGAAATGAAACAAGGAAAAAAAGAACATGGGAAAACGTAGAAAATATATGCTATTTTTCAATTTTATTTTTAAAAAAAAATAGAAAACATTGAAAGAAACGTGTTTGATTGTAAAATTAGAAAATTATTTTTGAAAAATGAAAAAACATAAGTGAAAACATGAAGACATAAAAAACATGTTTTCAGTATATTTATTAAAACTGTTTCAAAATTTTGAAAAATAAGAAAATATGTGATCTAGATTTTTAAATTAACTTGCACGGATTCAAATCTTTTTAACAATAATTTTTTTGGCTTAATGGTATCTAAAATCCTTAAAAGTTTTCAAAAAATAAATATAGTCCTTGAACTTTTTTCTACACTCAATTTGGTCCTTACACTAATTTTTTAATAATGCATTTTTAGTATTTTTATATTTAATGTATTAAATCTTAATAATTATTATATTTATATTTTAAATTTAGATATATTGCTTTAATTTTTCTAAAATTTTAGTCAATTCCTTAAATTTTCTGAAAGAGACAATTAGGCCCTTCAACTTAGCAACAAAAAAAAATCAATTAAGCCCATCTACCGCAACATCGTCCATCATGTACTACCAGAACAATATCGTGAAATATCACATAGATATTGTAGATTTCTATGTAAGCTTTATGAATTGTCATATAAGTGTCGTGACGATCAATGTTTGATTTGGTTAGTTAACTAGATTGATTTTTCCTTAATTTGAGTGTCACGTTGAGTGCAAAAAATGTTCAAGGGTTACATTATTTCCCTCCCAAAAAGTTTAAGGGCATTAAATACACTAAACATGTTCTTTTTATTATAAATACAATTTTTGTGCTCTTGTTTACAACAATATTTTGTGTATATTTTTTTAATTTAATTGATAACCAATATGAATTAATATTAAATTCTTATTATAAACTAAAACAATTTATGTTATAAAATTTCTTATCAACTTTATTATTTTATATTTACATAACTCACATATTAAATTTATATAATGAATTTTTAATAATTATATTTTAATATAATTATTTAATAATTATTTATTCATCTCTATTTAAAAAAATAGATACCAATTACATTTTAACTATTTTAATTTATGAATTCAAGTTTTTATTTCTATTAACCGAATATATTTTCGAATTTTCAAAAAATTGAAATTGAAAATTATTTTCTAAAAATAAAAAAAAACAAAAATAGAAAATATTTTCTAGAACCAAACATACCATTAGTTTTCTTTTCTTCATGAACTACCTAAATTATATACTAAAATCTAAAATATAAAAGAACAATATTCATAAATATTTACTTTTCCACCATTTATCTATTATTCAAAATATAATAGAATCAATGGCAGATGTACGTTGTCGCTAGGATAGACAAGTGTCCAGTCTAAAATTCTCGAAATTCAATTTTTTTAAAAAACTTTTCTATTAATAAATGCATGTTCACCCTGAAATTTTATAACACCCATCTTAAAATTTTATCGTATCCACCAAAATAAAAAAAATATTATTAATATATATATATATTTCCACCATCTACATTTTTTTTTAGATCTGTCACAAGAAGGAATAAAGAGTACCTCTGGGTAAATCTTGGGATATGTAAGGGAAAACTCTTGAGGCCATGAGCCTCTCGAGTTGGAGAGTGGTAGCAGAGGTATGCAAAGGAGTGGTAGCAGAGTTGTTGATTAATGGAAGAAGTACAACACTAGTCCTTTTTAATTGAGAGTATCATAAAGTGGCATGAACAACATGTAACTAAAGTATGATTTGTGACTGTTGTGCAGAGGCATTTGTTCGAATATAAGGCCATTTATTGGGAACAAAATTATGATTGTGTTTGAATGGTTGTAATCCGTACATGTTCTGACCTTTTACAGGTGTAGGTCAAAGGCTTGGATTGATGTGAAAGGTCGCGTCCTCCGATTATAAAGAAGGAAATATGGGCTAAATCTATAATTCTTCTTACCTTTATTTCTAATTTCTGATTTTTGAAAAGTTTCTTTGTAATATCATTTCAAAATTTCTTTCTTTATCTTCGTCTATTTTTCTTTATACGACGGTGAAAAGAGTTGTGAGGGGAGTCCAGAATCTATAAAAGAAAGTAGAGGTAAACCAGTTGCGTTAGGTGCTCAAAGGCTCTATCGAGTGTAAAATCAACGAGAATGGGGCAAAGAGGTTGTTAATATGTCATGGTTTGCAATGGGCTAACTACGAGTTTGAGTTTAATATCCTTGTGGGAACTGTCTGTCTGAGCGACTGAGGTGAGGGAGAAAATGATGGTCAGGGTGGTTCTACCTGCCTCTATTCGCTTTGGAAGTTGAGTTCTACCTTTCGATGCATTACTTCGTTAAGTAGATGTTGATCATCTGCGAGGTAGCTTGTTGAGTGATTTGAGTGTTTCGCAATTGGTGCAAATGTATACGTCGCAAGTTATAGTATAAAAAAGATATCGTTTCCACATGGATTGGTGAAATAACTCTGTATTCTAACTTCTTGCACTATAAAAAAAAGGAAAAAAATTGGTGATTGTAGGAGTGTGAAATAACAATTAAAATAAATGCAGAAGTAAATAAAGGTATAGACTGAGGTTGAATACAAGCCGGATTATTGTGATTAGTTGTGTGACAACTGTTTGGAAAGTTTGAGTAGTTGGTTGCCGAGGCAACTCGATTGCCTTGGCAACTGAAAATAATTCAATTGTCTTAGAAATTGGGTTCCTTCCTTCAAAGCTTAGCAGGGCATTCTTCAATGTCTTCTTGTTATCCCTAACTCAAAGAACTGATCAATTTTGCATGCCTTGGTGATACATCCATGCGTTAACCATGGGTTAGCAACAACTGATCTTACGCTCATTTTAGACGTTGAAATCCTCTTTTTCCTAAGATGCATTAACCTTCACCAATGTTCGTTCAAATAAAGATCATGCTCATTCATTTCTTGAATCTAACTCTCCCAATATTAGATAAATGGATAAACTCTCGATATCCTCTCATAATTCACTCGAAATCAATTAAAGAACCAAGAATGAACAAACTTTGAATTGGAAAGGCAATCAAGAATTCAAACTAATCCAAAAAGCTTTCAACACCACAAAATCCCAACCACCCAAGCCAATTAAATTTAGTTCATGGCTGGGTGCAAAA